TCAAGGTTTTTAAATATTTAATGTGTTTCCATCGTTCTCTTCTCCGCTGTACATTTTCTTTGACTTTGCATCATGTTCAGTCCTTGTATCTTTTTTATTGCAGGTCTCTCCTGTTGAGTGTTTTCTTGAGAAGGCAAGTACTGGACGCAGTAGAAGCTCCAGCAGGGGTAGCAGTCCAGGAAGATCTCCCGTGCGATATATTGACGAGCAGATCCAAGGCTTTAAAGTGAATCTTAGGCCAGAAAAAAAGTCCAGATTTTCATCAGTAGTATCCAAAATTCGGGGTCTTGATCAGGTAGTGTTTTTATCATCGTTTTGTTATCTGCCCACCAGTCTGAACTAATGCATGGGGATAGTCAATATGAATATATTCCACTTTCTCTTTCCAAAAGAGATACCAAGAAAAACTGTTATGTGCATTCCTGCACACATGCTGGTGGCAGGAGATGAATTGGCAAGTACTTCATGATACAATTTTTAATGCATTATCATGAGATCACGCTGTCTTCAGGTCCCTCCCATCTGGATAATATGCTTCCAACTTTCTATATTCTGTTCCACTTGTTACTTAACACAAGAAAATAATGGTTTTCTACATTTTCAGGAAGTCCATTGTATATTATTACGATACATCTGTTCTCACTACTTTGAACTGTATTGGACAGGATTCTCCGAGGCTGCAAGTGACAGCTGGAAAGCTAAGAGAAATTAACGAGGATGCAAAAAGCTTTGCTGTTGGAAATAAGGCTCTGGCTGCTTTATTTGTACACACTCCAGCTGGCGAGCTGCAGCGTCAGATTAGGTCATGGCTTATAGAGAACTTTGAATATTTGTCTGTTACTGGAGACGATGCAGCAGGGGGAGCAACTGGTCAGCTAGAACTCCTGTCAACAGCAATCATGGATGGGTGGATGGGTGGACTTGGTGCTGCAATGCCTCCTTCTACCGATGCTCTTGGCCAGCTTCTCTCTGAGTATACAAAACGGGTCTATTCTTCCCAATTGCAGCACTTGAAGGTGCATTTTGATCTCATTTTGAATCTTTTCATGGAAAATCGAAGGATCTTGGTCTCATCATTAATTGTCTTCAAAAACTTATTAAGTTTACTACTATTTAACACGTCAATTGTTTTGAATAAATGCTTGGATTGATTTTTTCACCGTGTTATTGCTTGTGAAAATATTTTGAAAGATAACTTCCGTCGAGTAAAAAGTTTTGTTTTTTGATCTAGTCTTAGACTTTTTTCATGGCAAATCATAGGCAGTGTGAATTGATTGATCCACACAATTTTAATAGAAATCCATTTTAATATCCTCAACTTATTCGAGGATGGAAATTCCTTTCATTTTTTTAGAGTCGAGAAAAGTCATTATTTTCTCAGCTACCTAAATCATAATTTTCAAATGTCACCAAATTCTTATAAATAAATCAAACTTGTTCAAATTCATTTAGATACAATTGGGATATTATTGGTTCAAATTTCATCGGACTACTTGCCTACGGTCTTTTAAATATTTCATGAGTTTAAAGCCACTAATGTTTTTATGTTCATATTTTTCAAAAAAGAACATTGTACAAGGACAAAAGAAAAACTTTGCCCGATATCAATTGCTGTCTTGTTCAGAACAAGAGTGGTGCTCTTTCATGATTGCTGCATGGGAAAATACCACTACATTCTTGTCTTTTCACCTAAGCACATCCAGTAGGATTTCTATTTTTTGCAACACTGTAGCATCTTCAACGTTGTGTCCTGTCTTCACGTGGATGAGGATTGATGATTCTTTTTTTTTTCTTTTTTTTTTTCTTTTTTTTGTGTGTGTGTGTGTGAACCTGAGTAATAAATCTTACGTTCCTATCTAACTCCCCTGCTGGATTTTGCTACCTCAACAGTGTAGTGGTAAATAGACCATGATATTTTGGACATTTACGTACATTTTTCTATTTTATCAGGACATTGCTGGTACCTTGGCTATGGAAGAGGCAGAAGATGCGGCTCAAGTTACAAAGTTGCGATCAGCTCTTGAGTCAGTCGATCATAAAAGAAGAAAGGTACTTCATAACTTCATAATTTCTTTTCACTCTCCTATATACTTGGTCCATTTATTACTTGTGACAAGCTTAACACCTTAAAGAGCACATTTCCACGTTTGGTGGCAAGAAACAAATACTCATCTCTCATGCTTTCTTTCTATGTCCTGTTCTTCCATGTTGGTTCTATTCTGCAAATAAACATTTGCTATTAATGCTTAAATGCCAATGTTATCGATGTTTCTTTAGTCTACTTGATTACATTTTAGCATATTCTGATCTGCATTTTTGTTGTCAGATTTTACTACAAACGAAAAAATTACAGATGATTTGGCATTTCTATAAATGCTAATTTGTCAATGTTATCTATGTAACTTTTTTCATTCTTTAATTTCCTATATTCGAGCATCTTCTGATATGTAAAACTAATGTTGTCAGATTTTACAACAAATGAAAAATGATATAGCTTTACTTATGCTGGAAGATGGTGGTTCACCTATCCAAAATCCCTCTACTGCTGTTGAAGATGCAAGACTTGCCTCTCTCATCTCCCTTGATGGTATTTTGAAGCAAGTAAAGGTAATCTACTACATAAATGTCTTTCATTTTTTCTTGTCTTGTTTCTGTGTCAGAAACAGACATTTACAAAGATATTTATTGAAACAGGATATTGGGAGACAAGCCTCTGTAAATGCCTTGAGTAGAAGTAAGAAAAAAGCACTGCTTGCATCCCTTGATGAATTGACAGAACAGATGCCTTCTCTTCTTGAGATTGATCATCCGTGTGCTAGGAGGCAAATTACAGATAGTCGTCAGATAGTTGAGGTATGTGAGTCTTTTAAATTTTGTATTGAATTGTTTGTACTACATGCTTTCTTGTTGTATGAGTGAGTTCATCGGGTTTTTTTTCTTTTCCTTTTTTGTATCTATGTTTGAATTCAATTTGACTCTTCTCATTCGGAGATTGGGTCAAATAGTTGTTCGTTGGCATTGACGTGGAACTATTTAAGCCGACAACAGGGCAGGGTTGGAAAATCTCCATTTGTTGCAACAATTTGGGCGGTAGGGGGGGGGGGGGGGA